CCTATCAGTCTATTAACTAGCCTTTACAAAATTATTACAAAAGTGTTGGCAGAACATTTGAAGAGTGTACTACCTGGCATGATCTCCAACACCCAATCTGCCTTTATTAAGGATTGTCAGATTATGGACAACGTTCTCATTGCACAAGAGTGTATTCACTCGAGGGTCCAAAGCAAGAAGGCTGATATTTTGCTTCAACTGAACATGGAAAAAGCTTATGATCGTGTGGAATGGGGGATTTTGCTATAAATTATAAAGTTATGGGGTTTGGTGATAGCTGGAGGAAGTAGATGTTTGGTTGCCTTTCGTTTGCCTATTTTTCAGTGCTCTTCATGGGTAGCCCCATTAACTTATTTCAGGCTTCTAGAGGCTTGTGTCAAGGGGATCCCCTCTTGCCTTTCCTCTTTACCATTTATACTGAATGTTTCAGTTTGATGTTGAGCAGAGTAGAAAGGTTAAGATATTTTTTGGGGTTTTCTATTGCAAATCCGGGCAAGATTCTCTCCCATTTACAATATGCTGATGACACTATTATTTTTTGTGATGCGGATGCCCTACATATTAAGAATATTGCTTTATTTTTGGAAATATGTGAAGTTACAATTGGCTTTAAAGTGAATTTTCATAAATCCTCCCTTGTTGGTATTAATTGTCCTCAGGCATTGTCTGCGACTTTGGCCAGTGTGATTGGTTGTAAGGTGGACTCTTTCCCCATTCTATACCTTGGATTACCAATTTCTGATTCTAAACTTTCTATAGCTGTCTGGGATAGGGTGATTGAGAGAGCTTAATATAAATTAGATCTGTGGAAACCCAAGTATTTATCTCTTTGGAGAAGGGTGACGCTTTTAAGATCTTGCTTGGCAAACTTTTCGAATTTATTAGATGTCGCTTATTAATATGCCTGCTTCGATTGCCAAAAAGATTGAGAAAATGATGAGGGACTTCTTGTGGGGCTCTAATAATAATCAGCGGAAGTTCAATCTTTTAAGATGGGACAGGGTGTGTACACCCAGGAAGGAAGGGGGTCTGGGTATTAGAAGCACTAGAATGGATAATCAAGCTCTTTTGTGTAAGTGGTGGTGGAGTTTCCACTTAAAAGATCAATTATGGTTTCATACTCTTTGCTAAATATGGGTTGGATAGATCGAAAGCATGGCTTGGAGGAGGTAGGAGGAGGGATACTACTCAGATTGCAGAAATATTGTCTCTTACAGACCTGTGATTGCTGGTTATTTTAGATGGTCTGTAGGGTGTGGTAATCAAATCTCCTTTTGGCATTATAAGTGGTTAGGAGATTATCCCCTTCAGTCTCTCTTCCCAGATCTATTTAAAGTGATTATGAGACCCAATAGTAAGGTCTGTGAGTTGGTGGAGAGAAGATGTGTTTCTTTATCTTAGCATATTCTTTTGCCATATGTGAGGCTAAATAACATACTCTTTGCTCAATGGTGTGTATTGATGGATTTACTGGCAACGGTCTATATTTCGCCAGATGCAATGGATCAGATGGTGTGGGAGGTAGAGAGTGATGACATCTTTACGGTTAAATCTTGCTACAATCTTTTCTTTCATGATCGTTGAAGATGGTTTTGCCCACAGATTGCACAGACTTGGAAATGACTCATTCTTCATAAAGTGCAATTTTTTATCTGGTTAGCAACTATGAATAAATTTTTTACAGTTGACAATCAGATTAAAATGGGTAAGATCTTACCAAATGTTTGTTTGTTGTGTAAAGTCGATGGAGAGTCTGTTGCGCATCTTTTATCACATTGCTCTTTCACTACTCAAATTTGGTATTGGCTGTTTGGTATGGTGAATATTAGTTTGGCCCTGCCAATGACCGCTGATGGTGTTGTTACTCAACTTTCATTGCGACATCTGCCAAAGGCAGGTAAAACTTTGTGAAAGATTGCTAAAGGAATTGTCCTTTGGGAAGTTTGGAAGGAAAGAAACAAAAGGACCTTTAAAAGAGTTTCTCTATCTTTGGATTGTCTAATTCATCTATTAAGTTATCTATATGGTCGTGGCTCTCGGTGTCAAAGGTTGGACGAGGTGTGACGAAGATTGATGTATTTGCTAACCTCAACAACCTTTTTTATATGGGTGCCATTAGGTGTAGACCAAAAAGTTTATGGATGGCGCCTCTTGTTGGTATGGTGAAACTCAACTTTTGTAGAAGTTACCGAAGTTCTCTTGGTAATCCTGGTAATATTGGGATTGGTGGTATTTTGAGAGATTGTAATGGTAATACTTTTTTTTCCTATGCTAGGTCGATAGGGTGTGTAACGGTAAATTTTGCTGAATTAAGTGTGCTCTATCATGGTTTGAAAATTTTTAGAGAGAAAAATTGTGGCCATACATATTAGGTAGAAGAGAATTCTCTTAATGTGGTAAGGTGGTGTAATAAAGAACAACTCATTCCTTGGAAGTTACGACCTCTCTGACTAAGGATTATGGATTTGTCTTCAACCATTATGGTTTCCTTCACTCATATTTATCGCGAAGCAAATTTAGTGGCAGACGGCTAGGCTAAAGGGGATGCTTTTTTTATCTTCTCTTGTTATCTTTGATGGTGTAATTAAGTCTTTTTAGTATTAATAAAAGTATTAATATTGGTTTAAAATATCAATAAATAAATAAATTTTGAAAACTGCAATAATAATTCTATTAAAAAAACATTTGGAGCGGTAGTTTCAATTGTTTTTAGATAAAATACCTATTTGCATCTATCTTTAAGATGGATGCTTTATACCTTTGGACCGCACATCACAAATAAGATACGGCCCGCATGAAACAATTGTTTTATTATGATTTCTAAGCCCCCACCAAGGCTACCACCTTCATTACCACCTCCTCGTTCAACTCTTACCTCACTAAAGAAGTCCCCCTCTCTCTCTCTAGTATTTGGCTTTCTTACCAAAAGGACTCTCGGATTAAAGGTATAATCTAGAGCAATATTTTCCACCTCGTCTTGTGCCTCGGATTTGGCCCTGGCCCGAGGCAAGTAATTCCGCCAGGTCCGAGTGGATTTGACTGTGTAGTACACGTCAACGGCTTCAAAAATAAAAATAAGTTTTTTTAAAGAAAACATTGTTTACAAATAAAATAAAATATGTTACAGTGAAACAAAAACAAATACAACATAAAAAGTCCAAAACGCTAAAACAGTTATGAAAATATGAAAAAT